GCGCTACAGCCCGTCCCCGCTGTCCATGAAGCAGCTGCTGGACTTCGGTGAGCGCGGGGGCCGGGCGGGCGCCGGCGCGGGGGGCTCGCCGTCGCTTTCAGTCCCGGCGCGGGGAGGGCTGGCGCGTGGTTGAAAAGCGGCTGGGGTCCCCTTCCCGCTGAACCCCGGAGCCTCCCCGCCCGCGCACCTGCCTTTTCCCGCACCCGGCTTCCCCTTGACAGGTAGCGGCCGAGCTGGACGGGGGGCGCTCAGCTTTCCTCCTCTTTCCGTCCAAAGCGCCCGTCAGAATACTTTTTGCTTTCGGTCAACATTTCACCACGAACGGGAAACTTTATATCCCCTCGCGGCACAGCACCTCCTGGGGAAGATTAATAATATTATAGAGCAGCCCAGAGTCACTGAGATTTTACCCCTTGGCCACCCTGCACAGGGTCCATGGTGTTCCTAACAAATGTCTTTGTTTCTTTGCCATCAAAGCTTGTCTTATATTTGCATCACTGCTGAAAATATTTACAGACTTTCTGCAGTAACCTTACAGGGAAGATGTCAAGGATTTAAGTGTGATATTAGTTATTACTGGCCTGGAAACATCGCGACTTCCCCCCCGCCCCAGTTTCATATCTAGAACTGAGCGTGCGGCGTTGCCGAAACCCCGCACTTTTATGAACATTAAGAGCGGTAGGACAGTGTGACTTCTTGAAAGTGAGTCCTCTTAAAAACACACGCACAAAACAGTAATTCTCATATTGGTGACTTTAAAAAGAGAAAAAGAAAAGATACTTCTGAATTATCTATAAACACGAAACCAACCAAGGGTGAAATATAATTTTATCATATATGTGTGTTTAATATTGGATAGTTAATGCTATTCAAATGTATCATTTAGACATACTTGTTTCTAAATACTAAATAATTGTTATTGATACAGGTTCGGAAAACGCATGTGAAAGAACTTCTTTTGCATTTTTGAGACAAGAATTGCCTGTGAGGCTTGCCAATATCCTGAAGGAAATTGATATCCTCCCTGATCGATTAGTAAATACCTCTTCCGTGCAGTTAGTTAAAAGCTGGTAAGTAGTGAACCGTTCTTAAACAGTCTCTAGTTTTAAGACAGTTATCTGAGGATGAATTCTTATAATAAATATATTTACATCATAGTTGGAAAACAGGTGGTCTGAATAGTAAATACTTTTGAAACATGTAAAGAAATTTTTTATCAGTTTGGACTAAGTTATCATAAGGGCAGTTATAAAACTAGAAACAGACATTTTTATCCTGAAAAAGTAGATTCTTTCACAATATAATTTTTATTTCTAGAAGAAATATGAAAACTAATTGACAGTTATAATTTATTTTGTATTTTAAATAATAAAAGGCAGTTTGATATTGTAAAAAGGAATCCTATCTTAGAAATAGATATGAATGACTACTATTCAGAGAGGGCCACCTGATCTTTTTTTATTTACAAATCAATTAATAGAGCAGGCCCTGGGTTCAAATCCTGATTCTGTCTCTTCCTCATTGCTGTGGAATTCTTGGCAAGTGTCTTAAATTCTCTATGCCTCAATTCCCCCATTGATTATTGAGGAGAATGAAGTATATGTCTCCAAGGGATATTTGAGTGTAATTAAATGAGGTAATCCATTAAAAAGCACTTAGAAAAGTACCTAGCACACAGCCAGCACTCAGCGTCAGTTATTGTCATCTCATTTTCTAGATAAGGATATTGAAGCTTAGAGAGATTAGATAACCCAAAGGAGCAGATTTTCAGAGACTAGAGCCAGGATATGCACTGAGGCGGATGTGCACCAGAGCCTCACCCTAGTCCACTGACTGCACAGTTTATTGTTCATTGACTCAAGAAAAACATGTATTATGTACCCATTAAATATTGAAATCTGAAATACATATTCAATCCATACTATTTATTGCTTTCAAGACTTCCAGTCATCTATGAATGGAGTAGGAAAAAATATGAAGTCTTTTTTAAAAAGTTGTTTTTAAATCCTTTTGCTATTTAAAAAAAGTTGCCAAACAAAACAGAAAACTGAATACTGATCCTGATCTGGAATAGTTAAAGAAATATAAATTTTAACCTAGCTAGTTAAGGGTTAAAGTTGTACCTTTTTTTAAAAGAGATATTATTTTAAAAATGTCTTGGAGTTGTAATTTTAAACATAATACTTTCTCTTTTCAACTCATTTGAAAAAAACACTCTGTTTTCAGCCGCTTGTATCTGACTATTCAATTTAAAAACTTAAAGCACACCTGTCATTTACAGGTACATCCAGAGTCTGATGGAGTTGGTGGAATTCCATGAGAAAAACCCAGAAGACCAGAAGGCATTATCAGAGTAAGTTCTATGCATTAGAATAAGTGTCTAAAACTTTTGACTATTTCCAGACATACTCTTGTAATAAATGGTATGTACACTTATAATCTAAAAAATACAAGTGAGTGAACCTTACTTGAACTTTCACTAAATGTAAATGTGTTTTGCCTTAGATTTGTAGATACTCTCATCAAAGTTCGAAATAGACACCATAATGTAGTTCCTACAATGGCACAAGGAATCATAGAATATAAAGATGGCTGTACAGTTGACCCAGTCACCAATCAAAATCTTCAGTATTTCTTGGATCGATTTTACATGAACCGTATTTCTACCCGGATGCTAATGAACCAGCACAGTAAGTTAGTTTATCATAATCATGATACACAGAGACGGGTGTAGAGTATAAGCCATACTCTAACTAGATGTTTTACTATTTGGTGGGTCACATTCTTTGTCAGTGGTAGTTCTAATCATTATTATCCTGATTTTCATGTAATATTATGTAATATTTTTTGTATTTATTTTTCAACAGTCCTTTTATTTAGTGACTCAGAGACAGGAAACCCAAGCCACATTGGGAGCATTGATCCAAACTGTGATGTAGTAGCAGTGGTTGAAGGTAATTTCTAGATTTCTTCATTTCCCTTATTGAAAATGTTCACTATATGATTGACATATAGTTAAGGTGACTCTTTGAATGAATTGATATTCAGAGTTTTCCCTTTATATTTTTATAAGTACTGTCATGAAGTTCCTTTGCTTTTGAGGCTCAAGAGTTTAAACATGCATTTATAATATAATAAAAAATCCAAACATCAGTGGTTAATGTGGCATATTTTTATATATTGTATTTAATCTCTGAAGTGTGCATATTCCTATTGCTATAGTTATAACTTAAACATTGTTGGAATTCTTTCTTCAAGAAAATATTTAAGTATTTTTTTCATATACATAAACTTGTACTCTAATGAATATTTTAGATTAAGTGTAATGTACACACTGAAGATCACTTGAAAATTTTACTTGACACAAATTCATTTCAACATTATGATAAAAACTTTCTATTCCAGATGCCTTTGAGAGTTCAAAGATGCTTTGTGATCAGTATTATTTAACATCTCCAGAATTAAAGCTCACACAAGTGAATGGTAAGCTCTAAATAAAGTATATTTTATTCTATGGAAAATTAAGTGTTCTCCCAGTAGATTACTACTGTAAATACAGAGCAACTTCTGTGTTCCATTTTTTCCCTTCTGGACTTGCCTCGTATTTGTATACTTCTCTTTTGACGCCAAGGTTCTCTTTATCTCAGCTGGAAAGTTCCAACTGAGCATATTCAGTTCCTAGTGAGGATTTGTAAAGAAGGATTCTTTGAACAAAGAGTTTGGGATATTTAGTAACAACTTAGTTCCAGTATCTTAGATCAAAGAAAGATTCCTTACTACAGAATAGGGGGCATAGTAGACCAGATGTAGGAGGCACCACTTGATGATATCCTCCTAATGAGGTTACTCCTAAGATCTGGAAAAAAAATACTTCAAATTGCACTATAAAGAAATAGGCCAGTCACAGAAGGACAAATAACCGCATGATCCTGCTTATATGAAGTATTTAAAGTAAGTCAAACTCATGGAAGCTGAGAGCAGAATGGTGGTTGCTAGAGGCTGGAGGGAAAGGGGAAATGAGTCACTATTCAATGGGTATAAAATTTCAGTTTTGCATGATGAATAACTTCTAGAAATCTGTACAACATAGTGCTTATAGTTAACAATACTATATTATACACTTAAATATTTAAGAAGGTAACTCTCATATTAAATGTTCTTGCACATTTTTTAAAAATTATAAGTATATACCAGTTTTGGAAGCAGAGCACACTTTATTTAACAGCTTCAATTGTAGGGTATCTGAAAAGATACAGTCTTTCCACATTGACTGAAGTGATTACATGAGGAATGCAAGGCACTATTTTATCCTATTTCATAGTTGCTTCTCAGAGCATGTCAGTGTACTTTAATTGGAATAGCATTCTCCTTTCAATTCAAAGTAAACATCTTTTCCAAATAATACTTACATATAAACAGTGTTTGTTGGTGGTGAAAGTGAAAATCAAGTTGCTCAAATTATGAGTAGCCTAACTCATGCAATATGATTGATTGCTAAACTAAAAATAAAAGTACAAATAAAGATTGAAAAATATCTCTAAACATTGACAGCATTGTTGCATAACTTGTAGATAAATTGCTTGAACTGTTTGGTAAAAGAAAGAGGGCATTGAGCCAGACCTTGTGTTTTCTGATTCAGACTTTGCCAAGGCCTGGCACACCAAAGAATAATACTTTTATTTTTCTTTTCAAGCAGTATTATGAGGTTTTTGTTTTTCATGTTTTCTTTAGCCTCTTGGTGAAATTTGAGCATATTTAGTCTAGAAGATTTAAATGTTTGGGTGATAAAAATCAAGAATAATCAGACATGTTATTTTCCCATGCATTATTGTGCAATTTTCCATGTGTTACTTCATTTTCAAAATATGAAAATTACAGCTAGCATTAATTTTGATGTTATACTATAGATACATTAACTTTTTCTTCTTTCTTACAATGTATGTAACTTTAACTCTGAGATTGTCCTGTACAAAAGTTTTGAAAATAGAAGCAAATAATTCATATAATCTAACTTATAGCGCCCTTCTTGCACACTTCATCCACTTTATACATTTGTAGAGAAATGAAAAAATTAATTCTAGAGCACTAGGTAGCAACTGTAATAGCACTGTGAAAATAAGCCAGTTGTGTTTTCTGTTTAAGAGGGAAGGAAGGTTCTAGGGTAGGATTTTGAAGTGAGGAGGATGGGGAGTATTGCAATCCTGTTTTGAGTCTAAAATATTAATCAAACAGATATGGACATTCATTTTAATGGAATATTTGTTTGCCGAGTCTAATGAGTTTAATTTGTTTCTAGGAAAATCTCCAGGGCAACCGATTCACATTGTGTACGTTCCTTCTCACCTCCATCACATGCTCTTTGAACTATTCAAGGTAGGACACTTCACAGTGATTGCAAGTTTGTTTGTTTTTGACATTCACTGGTTACATTTTAATTTCCTTTATCGTTTCTGACTAAACAACAGCCTACCTCTCTTCTCCCAAGCAAGCTTCCTGTGCTCCTAACAGGAGACTACAGTTAATGTTTGGAAGGGTACATAGAGTTCCTTGTAGTATCAACGAGTTTGAGAATGTGCAATATGATTGATTGCATAGGATGATTCATGATGTCTCAAGGGCTCCCTAGTCCCATTATTTGTTCAGGTGTCCAACAAAGCACTAGTCATCCATGCATTCATTAAGAAAGTTCATGGGGTGAATGCTTCAGGGAATGAGGTCTTGTTTCTTCCACCCCCACAAGGCTGATCCAATTCCAAATCCAGAGGTTCAGGTTCAGAATTACTCTAAGTGGCAAGGTCTCAACCTGAGTCTAGACTATACTCAGAGGAAAGTCCGTTCCTTCAATGATCTACTTTAATGTGCATGTGAATCACCTAGTGGTTTTGTTAAAGTGCAAATACTGATTCAGTGGGTCCGGGCCGGGGCCTGAGATTCTGAATTTCTAATAAGCTAACAGGTGCTCCTGCTGGTCCACAGTCCCATTCTCCATGGCAAGATTGAAAGGCAGTGCTTCTCACACTTCCATGTGCTTCAGAATCACCTGCAGGGCTTGTGAAAACACAGATCCTTACGCTCCGCCCCAGACAGAGATTTTGATTCTTTAGATCCGAGAATTTGCATTTCTAACACACTCTCAGAGGACGCAGATGTTACTGGTCTGGGGTAGCCAGGTGCTAAAATCAAATCCTGTCCTGGGTTCTAAGACCAAACTGCATCTCTGTACTTACATCAAAAGATAGAAAAACACCTAAAGCTTTGTGATGCTTCCAAGAGTCCCCTGAACTGGGGAGGAGGAAGCCTAGAGAATGTGAAATTTGCTTCTAATTTTGATATAACTCTTCTCAGAATTTACTGTTTCCTAACTTATTCTAATATTAGCACAATGAGGTATTGATTATACTGCAAGCATCGGATCTATTTTATTTCACTTTAGCTAATGATTAGAACTTAATATTAAACGGAAAGCAGAAAGCAGATAATTTTCTGGAAATTTAGAGAGGAAAATGGGTGAAATAAACCAAAACTGTATCTGTATGAGATTCATCCAGTTGTCTGAAAACTTGAGTTTCTTCTCTGTTAAAGGACAAAAGATACTTTTTGATGATTTAATTTACTGTTAAATTGAGTGGTCCAACTCACAGATTTATTTTGCCATTACTGGTAAAAGTTAAGGTGATAATCACACGCAATTGAAATTTAATTTAGAATTACTATCCTTTTAAATAGTAACAACTTTTTCCCCAGCAGATTTTATAAAAGCCAATAAATTGGTTCAATGATTCACTCTTCATTTGTGATGTAATAGTTTTTGGTGTTTGGATATAAAAAGGAATGGAAAAACAGGAAAAGAGTGAGACAGGAAATAGACTATAAAAAACAATTTCTACATTTAAATTAAGCTTACAAATAAGAACTTGACAACTAGCAGAATTGTTCTTCTATTAGACATTACTCCCAGGAACTATAATACGTGGTAAATGAATATTTTTCATTATATATCCTACATGACATATTCATAAAGGACTATTTGCAGAGCTGTTTTAACTACGAACTTAAAAGAAACAGGAACTTCAAATTACCCTCTTGCTGCTTTTATTTTAAACATAAAAATGCAGATATTTGTTGTCTCTTATTCTTCTGCCATTGAATTTCATATCTTTTTGTTTTCTTTAGAATGCAATGAGGGCAACAGTTGAACACCAGGAAAGCTGGCCTTCCCTCACACCAGTTGAGGTGATTGTTGTCTTGGGAAAAGAAGATCTTACAATTAAGGTAACCATCTATTTTTCTTTTGAGTCTCTCTTGAGAGAACTTTAAAAGTCACCAATAATAAAGCCCTCTGCTTTGAGCAATAGATCAAAGCCGTATACCAGGTGACTTTTCAATAAAGGAAAGACATTTTTGTAGAGACAAATGCATGTTGTTTTTAATGTATAGCTCTGATGACTCATTTGTTTGTTTAAGATTTCAGACCGAGGAGGTGGTGTTCCCCTGAGGATCACTGACCGCCTCTTTAGTTATACGTACTCTACTGCACCAACGCCTGTGATGGATAACTCCCGGAATGCTCCTTTGGTAAGACCAATTATATGGCAAAGTTCATCCCAGTCCACCTAGTTCTAAAGGTAGAGCCAGGATTACAAGGAAGTATTTAGGCAAGTTAATCAGTTTAAATAGGGTGTGGGGAATATGAGAAAGAATGATAAAGTAAGCTAAACATGGTGAAACAATTCAAGGGGTCTCTGATTGGAAGCAGAAGATGTTTATCTAGATTCTAGGATACTAGTATCAAGCAAAATAATAACTCCTTCCTACATTTTGTATTCTAGTGATCATGGCCATCTCTTTACCAATGACTGATCTTTTCTCTCTAGGCCGGTTTTGGTTACGGATTGCCAATTTCTCGTCTTTATGCCAAGTACTTTCAAGGAGACCTGAATCTCTACTCTTTATCAGGATATGGAACAGATGCTATCATCTACTTAAAGGTATACTTTAAATTCAATAGAAAAAACCATTTCTGGAAAGATTGCTTCTTGTATAGCCCTGAGTTCTATGGTCCATAGTGAAAAGCCCCAACTGAGTTAATGCAAATAATAACTACACATAATTCTGTTTCCTGTTTGGTATGCATATATACTGTTTAATATTAAATATGGTAACTTACCAACAAGGAGGTGGAGCCAGACTATCTACCTGAAGTAAAGCAAAATTGTTGCCCAAGAAGCCCTTAAGTTTCAGAATGAGGACATGCTCATGTGAATTTTTTAAGGCAACTCCTTTGGCATCTGCGGGCATAGCTGTACTTTTGTTTTGCTTCAACTTGTGAGGAAAAGATGGTAATAATGTTCCAGCCTCAAAAATAACTGACATCAAGTTATTCAGACCTTAAGCTGACATTAGAAATCCAGGCAAAAGAAAGCTGACTGCTCACAAGTTGTCAGCAAGATACCTGGCATTTTCTGTTTAAACTTTAAAGCTTGGTAAATGTTTTTTCTATTTCTGATAAAGCCTCCATTTATTTATTAAGGTCACTGTCCTGATTCTGTTTATCTTTTGCCAGCTATTTCGACTGAAAATATATTTATATATATTAGCAACTAAAACATTAAGCTTCTAGGCTCCCATTCTGTACCAGGGAATTATTTGCCAAGTGGCCTTTGACCATCTGAAATAGCTAATGCATTCATATATATATATTTTAAAGCATGTTATCTCTCAGAATTTTTTTTATAGTTTATTGATTTTTTTTTCTAGAGAGAGAGGAAATGAGGGGGAGAGAGAGAGAAACATCGATCAGCTGCCTCCTGTATACTCATAACCAGGGATCGAGCCTGTAGCCCAGGCATGTGCCCTGACCAGGAACTGAACCAGCAACCCCCTGGTGCACTGTATGATGCCCAACCAACGGAGTCACGTCTCCCAGAGCCCATTCATTTCTTAAATGAGCCAAAGTCTTCATAGCATTGGGAAAGATTAATAGCCTATAGATTTATAGTATCTGATTAGGACTCCTACTTTATCACCAATACAAATGTTTTGCTTGGAAAGGATAGCTTTGCTATTCAGCTCTGTTATATCGGTAATATCCAAATGAGGGACATGTGTGAATATTGAACGCAAATTCTACTCCTTAATTTAAATTGTGTGTACACTGTTTCATACCCTATAGGGTAGAGAGAATATTTACTTTTTAATTTCCTTTTATACAATGCCTAACATACTGTGGGCTTCGATGTGCTCTTATTACTAAATTAATTAGAAGAATGAATTTGAATGGTTGGCAATTTACTTCTGAATTTCTTTTGAGTAACCAGTTCAGGTACAATCTTGCCATGAATAATTCCTTTGGTTTGACTTGTTTCCTTACTCTCTTTTCAGGCCTTGTCCTCTGAGTCTGTAGAAAAACTCCCGGTCTTTAACAAATCAGCCTTTAAACATTATCAGATGAACACTGAGGCTGATGACTGGTGTATCCCAAGCAAGGAGCCAAAGAACCTGGCGAAGGAAAAAGTGGCTGTGTGAAGAGGGACACTTGGGACACTTGAAGGGATCAAAGTGGGTCTGTGCCGGTGCTGCTTTCTGAATGTCTGCATGTGAACCCCTCTTCCCTCGAAAACAAACAACAGCAACAGGAACTCCTTGTTCAGAACCCCGAGGGGAGAGGAGCAAAGCTCGTTTCTGTGACCCAGGAGAGCACAAAGCGGGGCGATGGGAGCTAACGGGTGGCCAGCTCTTTATTCTTTCAACATAAAATAATGCTTGGGCTTGTATCAAACCTGAAGAAGATGTAAGCCCCTCAGTTTCTCATCTCTTTATCAACGGGCATGGAAGCAGAAGCGAAGTGAAGATAGAGGTATCAGTTTCAACCGACTGATGGTTTAGACCTTTGGTTGATGTCATAAGATATTAGTATTTATTGAACATCAAGTGTCAACTATAGCAGAATTTTCCTGCCATTCAAAGGAGTAGGGCTTAGTTTATACTATATGACTAGAAATGTATGTAAATGTCCATTTCCTATATATCTATGCCCTCTAGGGAGGAAAAACTGGTGACTAAAATAACATTCACTTTGAATGACAAATGAGTCAAAACATTTTATTCAAAGTTGTGGCCAAGGCATTGAGCCTAAGTAAAAACTTAGAAGAAAGCCTTTTCTGATAAATACAGAGCCTTTAGTATGCTGCTTTCTCTGTTCACATGACACATAGTAAGTGAACACTTATTGCCAGGTGCCTAGTCTTGGATGAATTTTGAAATATGCACTGAATTCAGAATGTTGGCGGTTGGAAGGAGAGAAGAATTGCCAAAGTGAGAACAAAACTCTCTCTCATCTTGCTCTGTTTATAGATGAAACACAAGACTGGAATAACTGACGTTAGGGAAGGAAATCATGCATTCAGAGCCTAACTCAGAGAGAAGGGCTGTTCTCTACCCTGCAGTGGTAGCAACCCAAAGGCATCCATTTTCTAGGTTTAAAAAGATGTGTTTTTGATATACTTAATTATACTCTCTACACTCTGACATTAACATGTCTGTAAAAAAAAAAAATCCTAATTATCAAGTAATTCAAGAACAGTATAATTGAAATACTTCTTGGAATGTCTTTACCAAGGAGCCTGGGAGTAAGAGGATTTCTTGCCAGGATATTTTCATTTGTGAATCATCGAGGTTGAGAGCGAATGAATGACAGCTGCAATGCATATGGAACTTTTGGGGAGTTCTGGTATAATATGCAGGCTGATAGGGCAGTCTCATACATTGCTCTTAGAAAAGGAGTGAAAAAACAAAAGAAGGAAAAGAGGAAAGGAAGGAAGGAAGGAAGGAAGGAAGGAAGGAAGGAAGGAAGGAAGGAAGGGAAAGAAGGAAGGGAAGGAGGGAGAGAGGGAGGGAGGGAAGGAAGGAGGGAAGGAAGGAAGGAGGGAAGGAAGGGCATTTTGCTATATTCCCCACAAATTATTTTAAGAAATGATCCATATTTTCATGGACAAGTTATTGGCAAGAGGATGACTTGGTGTCTTTCAAAACAGTATGGCTTCTGTAAATGGCTCTCTCACTCTTGCAAGGTAATAGGCTTTAATGGGAAACTCATGTGTCACATTGATGTTTAAACTGGGATATAGAAAAAACTAGACTTTCTGCATTGGAAAATAATCAGTACTGTCTATGTGTTACACTAACATTTGTGTTTAATTGGCTGTGGCCTAGTGTTGTGGTGCTTCTGGGAGTGGCCATAGAAGCCTCAAACTATTTGTTGCAAATTTCAGATTTTATCATCAGAAATCCTAGATGGGGACTTTTCTTGATGATGGGATTCTGGCTTGTGCATTTATTAATTACACAAAATGATTTGCAATAAGTTATTTGAATTTTCACTTTTTACTGAAATTTAAACATTTTTGCATGTAAATACTTGTATTTACCAAAGATTTAAAGCAGTTGATTAATTAATTAACCCAATCACTGTGAACTATCATTAAAACACTAGAGAAAAAGAAATGTTATCTCAATGACATCAGCTGTGTAAATGGAGTTCTATAAAGTAGAAATAGACTACATTGGTATTTGTAAAATTTATGGAAGAGCTTTAGGATTCTACTGAATATATACTGAATGTTACAGACCCACTTAAATTATTATTGTATAAATTGTATTTTTGCCTTTAGGTTATGTACAGAGAAATGTGATAATTTTGATAATAAATATTTTTATTACAATAGTAGACATAGTCTTTTAAAGTTCTCTTAAATTAATGGCAAAGTACTAAGAATTTGAGGTAAAGGTTTTCCTCACTTTACATTGAAATCTAATTTATCTACATATTGGATATAATCTTTTAAAAGTATTAAAAGCAACTTAAAATCTTAATTTTTAAACAAAATATAAGTACTTGATAACAGTCCAGAAATTTCTAATTGTTCTTTGCTTTCTTGTGTATGCCCCAATAACACATAGATAGTACAATGTGTGTTTATCTACATGAAAAATGATTATTGAATCATTTTTATGATACATATATTCTCTATATATTTTTGGTAAATTTACTTTGAAGTTTCACTTAATGACTCTATTTACATAACAAATACAGTGGAGCATCAAAATAATTACTTAGCTAATTTAGGTTCCCAAACAACTTCTGGATTAAATATCTGAATAATAATAAAGTAGAATTAGGATACACATTACTAAATTAAGTGGTGGCAAGTTTTGTCTTTGCTATTTCCACACTGTCACTAATTTAATTCTACTCTATCTTTAAACAACATCCTTTGCCCACCTCCACAATGCCCCTATTTGGTAAAATTTTGCAAAGAAAAAAGAAAGGGAGAGGATGGAAAGGAAAGGAAGGAGAGAGGGAGGGAAGAAGGGGAAATTCAAATAAAATAAAATTAGTGGAATGAATTTTCCAAAACTAAATCATAAAACCTTGTCAGAATAATCGTATTTGACTAAAAACTGCCATCAACCAAGACATTAGACCCTAAAGAAACTATACTAAAGCACTTCATCAGGGACACTCGACACTGCACCTCATCTGAAGGAAGTACATGTGCGTATGCATACACACAAGCAAGCATGTACACATGGGATTTAGTAGTAAAGTCCCTTGGATTAAGCTGCTTGGGAGGTAGGGAATTCATTCACTCCATAGGCTCAGAATCTTCATCCACATTTCCATAAAAACTGGAAGACATCAAGTTCCACAATCCTTCATTTAGACACACATATATCTTTCTGACACAGTCAATGTGTATACCCCGAAAGATGCTAATTTTCAAGTCCAACAAAGTGGGCTGAATCAAAACTATCTTTATACTGTTTCTCTTAAATTTCAAATTTGGCAAGAAATGGTGGGAGCATGTGACCTTAGCTACAATATCATGTGCAAAGACAGAAAGAGAGATCATGGTGAACTGGTAGCTTGTTTGGGCATGGACCTTGATAATTTCTTTCCATGTTCCCCTACTATACTTTCAGGTATTGCACTTACACTTCAGTGTGCACCAACAGTGCAAATGTACTTGGTCTGTCCTGGTGAAACAATTGAGGGACTTTCATAATTTCACAGGAGCCTATGTAAAAAGTCCCTAAGCCCTCAACCGTGAAGATTTAGAGCAGTGGAATGCTATCCCTATTAGCATTCTATCCATACATATCTTTTTCTGATTTTCCACTTTTTACATTACATCACAGTTACTTAGGCACTCAAAGAACATTCTCCGGGTAAATAGCTGAATAAACACGTAAATAAACTTCTGCCCGTAGAACAGCATCCTTACATTTAAAGGCAGATTGGAACTCTGTGTTAAATAAATGCACATCAAATTTTATAAGATTTTTTGCTTTAAATGGTATATAAGAAGTTTTACAACATTGTAGAAACTCTGTAAAACTTTCTAAACTAACTTTTTTGAAAAGTTAAATTTCAACTGATTTTTTTTTTTTTAAATGCTCTTCATTGGTGGCCTTTGGCCACTGGAAATTATTCATATTTCAATAGAAATTAAATGATGGATAAAAATTATTAGGAGTAAGAAAATTTCTTGGCACTCAAAGAACAAAATGGGTTGGTGTTTCGGGTTTTATAACTATTCTTCCCTTTTATTCAACTTGGATTAAATGAAAACTATTTAATGGAAATGAGCAACTGTCTTTTAGATTTTTCAGTTTCTACCCAAGTGCAAATAAACATTAAAAGCTACTCAAAACCAACAGAAATGTCAGTAACCTTGAAAACATGTTGGACTTATTAAATGATGTGAAAATTATGTGAGATGTCTTTGTGATAAATCCAGCAACAAAATAATAGTTTGTCAATGAATTATGAGACATCATTTTTATGTTTACTGCTACTATTTAACATAATGAAAATAACATAGGACTGGTTGTCAAATAAAGCAATATAGCTAGGAATTATTTATTAGTATACAATTTCCCATAAATGTAAAGGGATGCTTTCATACTTAAGACAAATAGTCTATTGAATGACAAAGTCTTTAGTTTTAAAATCAATTCCATTAAAACTATGCCCTTTAATGTGTTTCCGGCCCCAAAATATACTTTGATAGTTTTGCCTTTAACTCAGTCTTTTTTTTTTTTTTATGTTTTTATTGATTTTAGAGACAGAGGAAGGGAGAGGGAGTGAGAGACAGAAACATCATCAATTGGCTGTCTCCTGCACACCCCCTACTGGGGATTGATCCCCCAAAACAAGCATGGGCCCTGACTGGGAGTCAAACCAGGGACCTTTTGGTGCATGGGACGATGCTCAGTCAACTGAGCAACACTCTCAACTCAGTCTTTTAAATTCATTATTAAGGTCAACAAAATTTTTTTAAAGTGTAAGTTTGTGATCTGAAAATAAAATAAAAATTTGAAACCAGAAAGAAAAGCCTTCTACTATGTTCTTTATGTATTTGCATTGCAGTTTTCTCTTCTAGCTAAATGAGGTCTAGTTGTTTAAGGAAGGCACTTCCAATGCTAAGGTTTTTAAATCTATATTTTCTAATGATTCTTTAATGAATACTCAGCCTCCAATCTCTCTTCAGTCCAAACTAGGCTTCTTATAGTCACTATTAAGCTCAACTCCTTTACTGGCTTCCCAGTGCCTAAGAATCTGATATTTATAGTTTTCTACAATCCTACCTACATCCCAATCTTACAACTTATATCTTTCATTACTGAACTGTTCAGTATATTGTCTTCTAAATAGAGAACAAACGTTATTTCCTTTTTCTCATTGTAAATATGCCTGCCTGAAAGCCCTTTCTCTCTTCTCTGTTTGTTTGTTTTTTCCAAATGCTGCTCAACTCCACCTCCATAGACAGAGCATCCCAGTTTAAAGTGCCCTCTCTTTCAACTTCCTCCTCTAAACTCTCACATGCTCAGGACGATTTTAGTATTTATTACATAATTCCTTAGGTTGCTAGCTAAATATTATAGAGATGTAAAATCCAGAAACCCTACTAGATTGTGTGTTCCCTACAACCCAGGACCATGAATTACACATACCTACTTGAAACCACAATATTAAACCTGTTTCATGTAGAATAGATATTGAGCAATATTTTTTGATTAATATATTTTTGATGAGTTGGGAAGACAGGAGATAGCAATGAAATAATTCTTAAGTGAGCAGATTATTCTACTGATCTAAAACCAAAGCAACCCATTTTAATAGTATTTCTAATGACCCACATCATTTCTTCTCAACCTGGGAAAGATTCACTTTTATTTCCAGATGGATCATGGCTGTAATATATACACACAAACTAAATTAAATATTCTATTTCAAGCTTAAGACTTCATCTTTGCCCTCCTGGAGCTCAGAGTTCCATTAAACAGTTAAAGAGGCACAAACAAGTGAGAAGTTGACCAAAGATTTTAATAACAGTTCAAGTTAACAATAGAGGAGATTCCAAAATTTCTAATATACAGAGTCAGGCAAATGCACTATCATTAATTGCTGTAGAAATCTGAAGAAGAAAAGGTGATTACAGCCTAAAGTGAATAGGTCGAAAGAGGACAATTTATGTGAGGGAAATGGGAGGACCACGAAGAAAGTATCTCAGGAGAGGTTGGGAAGGGTACGTCTGAATGTCTGGATGTGGTACCTATGGCATCAAGGAGACATTTACTAGGATAGTAAAAGGATCGAAAGAGTTCTGTTTGCTAAAATCTTAAGATCATGTGTTTCACTGTCAGTTTATTTACAAAACGCAATGTGGCAATTAACACAATTTTCTCAAATGGGAAATTAATTTAACACTCAAATAACTAAAGAGAGCATCTGTGGTAT